CGATTCCGATACTGATAATATACTAGCTATAGAATTTGTCAATTCAGGAGAAGCGATTGGAGTGTTCGAACTCCACAATGATTTGATAATTTCAAAAACCAATCAAAAGGAGGTTATGGCAGGACAAGTTTATAAGGATAAGGCTACATTGAAAGAGGTGATGGAGAATTATGCTATCGCTCAAAGGTTTCAATTCCGGGTTGATCGGTCTAATGCTGTCAGGTTTGTTTGTTGTTTAAATTTGTTGTATTTATGCGTATTTGTGTGTTTCCTCCTGAAGAACACATATGAAAACTTATATTTGTTTAGGGTGCTTAAATACATGTATTCAAATGTATTTTAATGGTGTACAAACAGAACAGAGGCTCTAATTATTTTCTTATTTTGTCTACTGTGGTATTAAGTGTTGCATATTCATACAACTGTATTCAGTTGTATTCATTGTGTTTGAACCCATGTAACTATATTGGAATTCATTTGTATACAAAATTATATATACACTTGTGAATTTGTTAACATGTATTCAGGATGTATATATGTCAGATTCTATTTGTATGATGTATGAGCTGTATTTGTTGTAAACAAGTATGCTAATCAAATATTTTCTGATTAATTCTTTACAGCTATGCATTATTATGTATTTCAGAAGATTGTGAATGGACGTTTAAGGCTTCAAGCATTAACAAATCAGAACTATTCAAGGTGAGAGAATTCAATGATAACCATACATGTCCGCTGAAGGATAAGTGTACGAGCAGCGGCAGGCTAGTAGCAGCCTTATAGGTGGTATTATAAGGCCAAAGCTTACAAACCATAAGAGGAAATACACTCCGAGGGACATTATTGATGATGTGAAATCAGATTTAGGTGTAGATGTTAGCTACATGTTGGCGTGGAGGGCTAAAGAAAAGGCAATGAATTTTCTTAGAGGTGAACCGGCTGATTCATACAAAAAATTACCAGGATACTTATATACAATGGATATGACATATCCAGGTTCCCACATCAGAATGGTAAAATCGCCAAAGAATGAGTTCATGTACGTGTATATATCATTGTATGCCTTTATAAGGGGGTTTGATCATTGTAGACCAATTGTTGTTGTGGATGGAAGTCACCTAAAATCTTACTACACCGGTACATTCGTTTCGGCAAGCACGTTGGATGGTGCAGGTGAGTATCTGAATAATAATACAATATGTTAATATTTAAATATTGAAATACATGTATTAAGAAATAATTATATTCAATTGTATGTACAGGTCATATATTACCACTAGCATATGGTGTTATTGATTCAGAGAACGATGCTGCTTGGACGTGGTTCTTTGAGCAATTCAAGATAGCATACGGTGTTAGGGAAAACATGTGCATCGTTTCAGATAGAAATGAGAGTATCATTAAATCTGTATCGAGAGTGTATCCGGATGTACCGCATTTTGCTTGTATATGGCATCTGTGGAACAACGTATATAAGAAATTCAAAAAGAGCCTGTCACGACCCAGATGTCCCACCCTCGGGGGTCGTGATGACGCCTACTAATAGAAGCTAGGCAAGCCAACTTAATTTACTTCTTTTAGCAATTATCGTCCATTTAATAAAAACAAAGCATAATATGATAAAGCGGAAGTCTCAAATATAATTAACTGAAGGAAAAGCGGAAGTTTAACAAAATCCTCTACCCAAGACTGGTGTCACAATACTCACGAACGTCTAGAGAATACTAAATACAAGGTTTGAATGAAACATAACACTGTCTGCTTCGGTACAAATGATAACAAACTGAATAAGATAGAAGGGACTCCGGGCCTGCGGACGTCAGCAAGGCTACCTCGAATGTCCCTGGACTGAAAGCTCGCTCCCAGAATGCTACTGCTACTCATATGCTGCTCCGACACCTGGATCTGTGCAAAAATATGCACAGAGTGTAGCATCAGCACAACCGACCCCATGTGCTGGTAAGTGCCTAGCCTAACCCCGGCGAAGTAGTGACGAGGCCAGACCAGACTACCAGTTAAATCTGTGCAAATATATATATATACAAGTACAACAAAGTAATAGCGGAAAGTAAACAATTAAAGCTGGGGGAGGCAACATGCTTATGGGGTAGTAGATAAAACAGAATATCAGGGATAACAAAAGAAACTACATCTAATCGCTCCTAACACAGAATAAGGGAAAACAGACCACTTTCACTTATTTCAATTTCCTCTCGTTGTAGGCGTGCAACACGATCCCATTTTCTCATATCACGTGGTAGGCGTACCACTCGATCCCATTCATAATCTCACGTGGTAGGCGTACCACTCGATCCCATTTCATAATATCACGTGGTAGGCGTACCACTCGATCCTATTTCATAATATCATGTGGTAGGCGTACCACTCGCTCCCATTTCATAATATCACGTGGTAGGCGTACCAC